AGCGCGAGGCGCACGTGAACTGAGCAGCTCCTCCACATTAATACCAGTTTCAGCACAAAATAAACATGACTAAACATCCGAAGGTAAGTTAAAAGAAAGAGTACAACTTTACAATCCGTATCCTGTCTCATGTAATCTCTCAATCAGTGTTTCAGCCGCGCAAAGACGTCAGTATAACGGCTTGTAAACAATGTGTCACGTAACGTCACATTTACCTCAGAAAAGGCATATTCTGTGACCATAAATTCATTAGTAAGCTAGACAAATAAACTAGAGAGGGGCATTTTGATAAATATATGCACCATATAACATATTCATTATAATTTTTACTGTTCTTCAGTGTTTAATTTATGTTTGAATAAATCCATCAAGGCTCAAGACAGCCACCATTTAAATGTTTATATATATATATAAAAAAAACGAATTGAAGTAGAAGTATTATGTAATTGTAACTTTATTATTTTAAAAACGTCCATTGTGTAATTTTATTACTTATTATAATTACATTTTGAAGAAGGTCATAAAGCAAAACAAAAAATAAATGAACAACGACGACAACAACAACAGCAGCAAAAACACTTCTGGGGAGGCGTAAAAGTTTGTGAATAATTTGCATTCAGTTTCTGCAGAATTTTTGATTCTGTATATGGTGCATTTTTAATTTATGGAAAAAGCTAAATAAATCAGTTATTGCTGCTTTAGCACAAGAATGATGGAGTTCAAAGAGAAGCTGAAAGAGAGGAAGGCAGCAGAAGAGGCGGAAAAGGCTAAACTGGAGAACTCTGAATCGACCAATGAGAACAAAGCTTCAGAGCTGCAGACCAATAATGGAGAGGTCACTGAGGAGACCACAGCGAATGCGGAACAGACGCAAGAGGCCACAGATGCAAATGCAGAAAGTCAGTCATCGGAAACTGACTCTTCTGAGAAACCAGACCACTCTAAAATGAACGGCCAGATCGAGTCCCATCTGCATAATGGAGATTGTGCCACAAAAAACAAAAGTGAGGAGGAGGAACAACAGTCAAACATCACTAACGGTGTCTCCACTGAGAGCCAATCAAAGTCAAGCAATATCATGACGTCAGTAAATGAAGCACAGTCAGAATCAGCAGTGGTGAGTGGAAAAGAGTGTGTTGTGAAGGAAGATTCAGGTGATTCTGAGAAGCAGGTTGAGACCGAGTGAGTGAGATACAGTATGATGGGATTGATCCAGTGTTTGACACATGACCATCTCAATTCAGTGTCTTTTTAATAACACGAGAGAAGATGAAGCCAAAATGACAATATCTTGAAGACAAAGTTTTGAAGTCATTAAAATGTTTGACTAAATAAAGTTTCATTTCTGTGAGTGAACATCAGTTATGCGACTTTCTTCATTTTGTAGTTTCACCAACTTTTTTTATGCAAGCTTGTTTTCATCACGGAATAAAAAAAAATAAAAAAAGAAAGAACTGCTTTTTATTTAACAATTCTGACTTTTTTCTTGCAATTTGGACTTTTTTTATATATTGGTTTGCATTAAAAAAAGTGTATTGATTTTTTGTTTCTGCCACAGAGTTAAAAATATAAATTATAATTGACTTTTTATCTCACAATTTTGGCTCTTTTTCTTGCAATTTTGAGTTAACATCTCATAATTAAGCATTTAAATCCTTGCAGTTACCTTTTATTTTTTTATCCTGTGGCAGAAACAGGGTTCCATACTTTCTCCAGCTCTGTATGTTGACACCAGTTGTACAAAAAAATCAACACTTCACCTTTAAGTCCCAATAAAACAAGACTCCTATTAAAAAAGACAAAACAATATTTTTATTATTAGAATAAAAAACAATGTATACAACAAGAAACTGGAAATAAACGAGCCAAATATAACAAAAATAATAATGTTGCATTTTTAAAGCTGTGATATTTTCAGCTCCTTTTCTCTTTCTGGATGATCTCGAGATCTTGGCAGTGTTGGTACAGTGGCTCTGAAGGCTCAATCCACATGCATTCTGGGAGTTTATTCCGATTTTCCAGAGGGAACTGAATGAGCGCTGTGTCACTGAACACATCCAGGAATCGCGGTGAGCAGGGCAGAGACGTCTCGTCACACACACCACCTAAAACAACACTTAGTCAAGGCCTGCGAGTCCTTATGGAGGAAAAATGTAAACCTGTGAGAATCTAAATTTACAATATGACACCAAGAGTATGGTCAACAAAATGTCACAAAAGGTCAACTTTTGTGACATTAATAGTCTCGAAAGAACAAGATATTAAACGAGAAAATAAATAAAATTTGTATCATACATGGCAATGTAACTGCATAATAGGACATTTGTTTCCAAGGTGAGGATTTTATACGTCATATCAGGTATTTCTCTGCATTTGTTATGTTGAAATTCTTTATAAACATGCATGAATTGTAACTGTGAAGGATACATTTGAAAGGAAGCTGTAGTCTCTCTCAAACTCTCTCTGAATCATCCTAAGAAAACAAAAATTCAACAGTCATCATGAGTAAGACTCAAAGTTGGTTAAACATACACACAATTTTGCCTTTCCAGCAGCATAAATACTAGTAAATAGTAAATACCGAGACTGTAGGAGTGTTATATATTTGATTAATATATCAGATTTGCTTTTTATTTTTTTACAGTTATATTTTATGCTTTTATTCAGACAGGACAGTAGAGATGAGACAGGAAAGCACTGGGTGGAGAGAAGGGGGAGCAGGATGGGATTTGAACTCGGGCCGCTGTTATGTCAGTGCACTAACCACGAGGCTATCGGCGCCAGTTTCCATTTTAATCTGAAAATTTAAGCAATTGTGTTGTGTTTTTGTCATTTTTAAAAATATGTCTGGTATTTTTTATTCATTTTTATTAACTAATTAATAATATAAATAATTAATAATAATGAGTTGTATAACACCAGAAGCCCACCTCTCTTGAATGCCATGAAAACTGTTGCCAATTATAATCAGTTTTGGTAACGTCTGAGGCGTCCAGTTTCTCCACAGCAGGTTGTTATACAGAGCCTTCCCACAATGCATCAGGTAAAACAGGGTGGGTTGATAAACTGCTCGCTTTCCCTCCTGTTATGAAAAGAATGCTTAAAGGGGTGGTTCACTGGTCTTTTTCTAGGCTTGATTGTGTTTATGGGGTGCAGTCTAACGCTTCATGCATGATGTGTGCACCTCATTTTCAGTCAACACGGTGAAGCCCAGCTCTTTGAGGGCATCATACTCTGACTCAGAAAACACAGGATCATCACAGGACAACATTGCAAGCTGGTATCGGGGCAGATACACAAGAAGCAAAGTGACCCAAACCTTAACACACACAGTGCTGAAGAGAAACTTCTCCATTCTGCTCTGAGGAACCAGAAGCGTTGGAAAGAAGACGCTCAGAGAGGAGATCTGAGGGTGGAGATGGGAATGTGGTCATTAATACAAATTGTGTTTTCACATTTATAGACGGTACATATTCAACTTCACCTTTCAAAGTCAAAAGTCAAAGTCTGCTTTATTGTCAATTCTGCCACATGTACAGCACATACATACAGAGAATTGAAATTGCGTTACTCTCAGACCCTTGGTGCATACAGTTAACACTAACAGTAGACATAATACAGATAAATACAGTTTAAATATATATAAAATACAACCTATACAATATACAAATAAGGACATTGTGTAAAAAAGAAAAAAAGAGAGAGATAGAAAAAGTGGCATAAGGCACATGGCAGTTATAGTGCAAACCAGTGATATAAACAACTGTGAAGATATAACGAGTGTAGTGCAAAAGAGCTTATCAGTCTGTTAAACTTTCCATTCCATCCAGAAGTTTTCTCCTCTCAGTTCATTCCTGTGACGGTAAAGAACATTTCGGAGAGCTTACAGACAACATGAACACAATTCATGCACTTTTCTATCTACTTAAGTCTCCAGGGTATTTAAAAGAATGCCATGGTGTTATAATGCATCATGTCTGCATGGATTTGACCCAGACACTCATGTAACGTGTGATAGTGGCAGTCAAATGAACTCTCACATGGCGTTTATTATCTTCTGCTTGTCCGGTTTGCAGTCAGACACCTGGTGTGAGTCTAGTTTGGGGTTTGAAGCTTGTTTTCCTCTTCTAGCCGCTCCTTTACGGCGCCCTGCTACCTGCCAGTCATCATTACAAGCCATTCTAGCAAAATCCTCCTTTCCAAAGAATAAGACAATTTACAGTCGGACTGCTCGAAATACATGGTCAAACTATGTGAGGATCGGTCGACTTCCATATGAACACATTTTGTATTTTTGTTTGTGTAAATGTCTCTATGATAAACTTCTAGCAGCTGACATTTTCATATTTACATCTACAAACACCATATGAGTGTTTCTGTGTTACACTTTCATCGTTCCGGTCGCCCGCTGCTCTCAATATATTCAGTTCTTATACTTTGTGTTTTTGCACAAATCACTAAGAGAAATTATACATTTGTATTTTTCTATTTTTTTATTAATTTATCGACAGGTGCGTATATGTATATACACTCATTTTGCCATTAATATACTTCTGAAATTAAATTTAGCAAATGCTTATTAATGGACTTTAGCGTACTATCTGGATGTGTCGGTGAATATTTATGCAGATTTCCACTACTTTCAGTTCTATACAGTATTTATTCTATAATTTATTTTAACTTGTGGAAAGGTTAGTATTTATTCCCTGTTGAACGGTGTCAGGAATACGTTAAATGTCATGCACAGTGATTCTATTCTATTCTATTCTATTCTATTCTATTCTATTCTTGTAAACCCAATAAAAACCTAAATACATTTTTTTTAAACACTGGTGAGAACAGCATCGCGCGCTTATTCCGTTAGTCGGACACTAGATGGCGCGCGCTCATTTCTTTCCCGCTCTTTAGCGCTGAGGTAAAAAAGAAAGAAAGCTGTTTTATAGTTTTTATTCTCTAAATTCACTTTTCTCAAAAGGTTTCCTTTTTGAAATTTAGCGAAATATTGAAAATAAAATGAAGTGTGTAATTGAAGGCAATGGCATTAAAGGTAGGACACAATTTTACTCCATGTTATCTAAATAAATCTTTTCTGATCGCCTCCAGTTAGTTTTTGTTGCTAATAAACATCTCTGTTTAGTCTTTGGAAAAGCAGTTCATGCTCTGTCAAGAATTGGTGATGAAATATGGTTGGATCCACTGGAGAAAGGGGTAGGTCTGATATATATGCACATTAATATAATGTGGATAATAAATAAAGTCATTGGTTGTTTCGTAAAATATAATGAATGAGCTGCCTTTGATTAATTGACAGCATTTTTGGGCCTCATCATCTAGGTAGGCAGCTCACTAGGCTTTAAGGCACAATCTTATACCCCCGGTTTCACAGACAAGGCTTAAGCCTAGTCCTAGACTAAAATGTAAGTCTGAGCTGTTTCAACTGAAAGAAACTTGCACTGACTGATCTTAAAATATATCAGTGCCTTTGTTTTGTCTCAAGATGCACACCAGTAATGTTTTTTTCTAAGCACGCTTATAAAAATTACCCAAATGTCCTAATTGAACTATGGCCTAATCCTGGCTTGGTCTAAGCCCTGTCTGTGAAACCGGGCCTTAGTGTTCAGTCTTGATCTTTAATTTTTTTCTAAGCTTAATTGGTAACACTTAACAATAAGGTTCCATTTGTTAACATTAATTAATCGTATTTGGTAATATGAACTATCTATCTTATTTGTCTCTCATTTCTAATTCTCTGTCTCTCTGTCTCTCTCATCTGTAGTTGGCTGTAAGGACAGTAAACTCATCTCAGTCGGCTTATGCCTGTTTCTGCTTCACTCCTCTGTTCTTCCAGCAATATATTCCTGATCCAGACATTCAGAAAGACTGTGAAGCAGTAAAATGCAAGTTAAACCTGAAGGTACTAAACACTCAGAAGAACCACAGTTTTCTTTAAGTCTTGCAAGGATTGGACGATGACGTTATTACTCCAAAGTTTCCACGGGTCTTAAAAAAAGTCTTAAGAAGTCCTAATTCAGTCTAACACAAATTAAAGCTTTAAAAAGGTCTTAAATCAGAGCAGTAAGTCTTAAATTGTTGGCCAAGTCATGGCGTTAAATGTTGCATGCACTGTAAAAAATGAATATATTTCTCAATGTTTTTGTCTTGTTTTCCAATACAAACATCCAAACAGCATTAAGTTCTTCCAGCAATATATTCCTGATCCAGACATTCAGAAAGACTGTGAAGCAGTAAAATGCAAGTTAAACCTGAAGGTACTAAACACTCAGAAGAACCACAGTTTTCTTTAAGTCTTGCAAGGATTGGACGATGACGTTATTACTCCAAAGTTTCCGCGGGTCTTAAAAAAGTCTTAAGTCCTAATTCAGTCTTCCACAAATTAAAGCTTTAAAAAGGTCTTAAATCAGAGCAAAAGAAAGTCTTGGCCAAGTCATGGCATTAAATGTTGCATGCACTGTAAAAAATGAATATATTTCTCGATGTTTTTGTCTTGTTTTCCAATACAAACATCCAAACAGCATTAAATGAAGATACATTTACTTTACGTGCAAAATGAAGATATAAAGTCTTGTTTTCTGAAAAATTTAACAAAATGAAGTGAGTTTATACTTAAAACAAAAATCTGACAACAACAAGCAAGCTAAGTTGCTTTAAATGAATTAGATTTTTCTGAACCCGTTGGCAGATATTTGTCTTTGGTTTATAATAACTATAATAACTTCATTTCGATCCATTTCTTAGAAAGGGATCTTAACTTATGTCATTTTGTTTCTCAAGTAAATGCATCCTGATTTATGAATATTTAGACATTTGCACTGGAAAACAAGACTGATTTCGACATCAAAAATAAATTATGATTACTGAACCAGTAATATTAATACCCAATGCCTTAACTCATATCCATCAGTAATTATTCATTCTTAGTACAGCATTTACTAATTATCCTATGCTTTTTAATCATTTTCAGTGTGTGCTTCCCCTGTTCCGCTGTGCATCATGGAGAGAGCGCAGTGTGGACAAATGTGAGATATCCATCAACATCCCAAACAGCAGGGTGATATTTCAGTTTCACTGCAGACACGGTTAGTTCATTTGCATGTGAAGTATGTATTGAATCTGGTAGTGCATTGACAGAGGGAGGAACAGATTGGTGTTGGCGGCTGTAATCACAGGGTGACAGCACACTTCACTGGACTCTCTTCTGTGACGATGAGATGCTACAAATCATTTCCATATTGCATAATTCATCACAACTTATCCCATTTGTTCTAATCAAGATGTTGGCACTTACATGTTTTAGGAATAACAAAGACCTATAATTTGGGGTATCAGGAATGCGAAGCTTTGCAGGCCGTGTTCCCAGCTCACCTCAGTCCTAATATCCTAATGGCCCAGTCCAAGTAAGTGCACAAATAATTCAGCATTACTTTTTCTGAAACTCTTTGTGGAATTGTTTATTTATTTATTTTTATGTTTACATCATAAATAAAGTCATTGGCTGTGTCTCAAAACCTGCCGTATTAGACATAATTTTTGGGCATCATGGTCTTGAGCATCCAAGCCTTTTTGATGCACATGCTTATGCTGTCTAGGTTTGCAGCTCACTAGGTTTAAGACACAATCTTTTAGTTTCTAAACTAAAAAGATTGAGGTTGATTAAGGTTCCATTTATTAACATTAGTTAATTACATTAGTTATTAGTTGAAAAATAGTTCTAAAGAATGTATTAATCTTGGGTAATGGTAATTTCAACATTTATTAATACATTATTAAAATCAAATGTTGTATCTGTTAATATTATTTAAAGGACCTGATCTAACGTGAACAAACAATGAACAGTTATATTTTTGATCAACTAATGGTAACAAACATTAATAAATACTGTAACATATTTATTTTTCATTGTTAGTTAATGCATTAACTAATGTTTATTAATGAGACCTTTCATTTTTAGTAGAATAGTCCAATTTATAGGCTAACTTTAAGCCATTTTTGTTTTTCAGACTTTTAGGTGACATTGTGGTGCATTTCCCGGTTTCACAAGAAGAGGTCACTCTTTCCATTTCCTCTTTTAAAGTAACCTTGAAGACCTTTTGTGAGGAAGAAAATAGTAAGGAAACGTTTGTTGTCTTTATAGTAGTTCACTAGCATGTAGTACTCTAACTATTATTGTAGTATATACCATGAATGTTATGAGTATGAGAACAAATATTTGATGCACATATATAATTTGAATAGCTATCTTCCATCTCCAGTGTCATGAATAAATTTAGTGATTTTTAATATCTCTTTGTTTAATGACTCTTTCTTAACTCTTAACTGAATATTATTGTAATATTACAATGATTTAAATATTTTTTTATATTTACATTATAATTAAATTAAAATCACAATATTATAATATTTTTAAAATTACCTAATTTAAAATCACCTTAATTTGAAATCACTAAAATAAATGTACAGTATGATGAGGTCATGTGGTAGCATACTATTGTGTTTCTCATCAAATAATGCCTATTGCTTAGCTTATTATTTTTTAAATAATAATAATAATGTTTAATTTTTATGCTTCTTTTCCCAAGCTCAGTGCTTTACAATCAACAATAAAAATAAATATATTGAAAACAGGACAAATACAATAAACAATACAATATACATGTCAAACTCCACAGACGATAATGGAATCTGAGCCAAATGAGTATATACAGTATATACAGTATATATATATATATATAGAAAGAAAGAGAGAGAGAGATAATATAGTAAATAATTATATAACCAGACTACATCTCGAATGCAGTATACATTAATCAGTGAGCTAGTGTTCAATACATTTTTTGAAAGTCCATTAATTTGGCATGAAATTCACTGAAAAAATGTTCAGAACTGCATGTAACCTACATGTATTTAGACTTACTGTATACCAAAGCTCCTGTATACTCGGATGCTCAACATCGTGGTCCTACATTAATTAGATCTTGTTTGTTTGTTATCAGACTGTATCAAAGGCATGAACACCGAGCTGATGCTGCACCCAGATGAGTTTGACTATTTTCAGGTTGGAGAGGATTCAGCCGTGACCTTCTGCCTCAAAGAACTGAGGGTGAGCGTTCAGCACGGCATGTTTTAAATACACAGGATATATGCTTAAGTTGTTTGTGTTCCCATGCAAGTATGTTTTATTTGATGTTTGTGCTGGTGAGTGCACAAGGATCTGCCATATTAATTTTTATTGCCACTTATTTCTGTCCTGGGATGTCCAGTAGTCGTTGTGCCTATCATATTCACCCAAGCGAGTTCAAAGAAAGTGTGTTATGCATGTGAACTGAAAAGACTGCAATGTTCTTTTAACTCACAGCCAGGTGTGGTATTTTATTTATTTTGTTGCATTCTGCATTAATAGGCAATATTGCATTCCTCAAAAAATGCATTAGTTAAACATTTGGATTATGCAAAACATGCAAAAAAAAAGAAAGAAATTGTGTTCTATGATCGCTTCCGTGATTTTGAAATTGTAATGCCTCCAAGATAAATTACAATTATAAACACCATCTCGTTTTGTATCCTCGCGCTGAACCTTTGACCCTGATTTCCAGGGAGATCTAGTGGCAGTGGATTATGCCCCGACAGTACCAACCCTTTTCACGTACGGGCTTTGGCTGTGTGTCAGTGGTGTAACTTCTTGGCAGGCCACAGTGTATTTATGTCAGTCATTGATGCAGTGGGACAGATGCTTGGATTCGAACCAGATAGCCTGTCACAATGAGTTACAGCACTGGACAGCACACTGTGGTCTGGACACACATGACTGACCTTCTCCTCATGCAGTCTTAAACGGGGTCAAATACATCTGTACGGATCAGTGTGTCCCTTGTGTATAAAATACTGTTGGAATCTGTTTTGACAGGTCTTATAACGTATATATGTAAAATGTTATTTTAGTAATTAATAATAAATTATATTATCTATCTATCTATCTATCTATATATATATATATAAAATGCTTACATGCTATGCAGGGCTTGACATTAACTTTTTTGCTCACCAGCCACTGTGGCTAGTGGTTTTCCAA